TGTGGAAGATAACGCCATCATAGTAACCTTGAAGATGTAGCGGCAGGCGACATGAGACATGAATAAACATCATGCAGCAAATCGTCATTCATGCCTTCCATAGCTAATGCAACAAAGTTCCTGCACGCCTTAGGAGTCTCCTGATACATTGCCCAAAGTTTCAGTGCGGCGCGCACCAGAACTTGATGAACAGACCTTTGACCATAATTCGATCTGTCCAAAGAAAAGCTGTATCAACTGACCACTTCTGTATCTGTAACTCCCCTCTCTACTCGCCTCTATCTCTCCAACAGATGTCTCAAGAATGACGCGGCCTTTGGTAGGAAGAGCCATCGGTGATTGAACAGTTGGCTAGTACAAAAGGTGTCGAAGTCCTTTTACTTGAGGGCTTTCAAATCGAAAGGGCGGAAGGTGGACAGAAACTATACGATACTCAATGCACCTTCTGAATCCGTCGAGAACAAGTTAAAATCCCGGCGCCTAATAGTTCAATGAATTCGCACGTGCGATACCGGATCCACTGAATTGAGTGCTTGAACAGCATTCATCTAGCAAAGCAGCGATCTTCGTTAACATTGGGTTGTCCTGTAATAAAACACAACTTTAACCAGAAGCTCGGTACATACACAACGGGGGATGAATGACGACGACGACCAAGAAGGGGTCTGGTATGGACGAATATTACACCCACACCAATTGTCTCACCGATTTGATCGGCGACCCATCCAGAAAACATTACAACGACAGGAGCCACTATTGCTGAAACCCGCCATAGAATCATCTCTGTGTGTGTCGGAAAGGGAAACGACCATACAAAGCAATGGATTCCCCCGAAGGCCATCCCAGCGGCTGCAAACATGAGTAGGACTTCCGTCTCCATCACGAAAATCGGACTGGCGCTCCCACATGGTCCAGATGCTCCCAGGTGCTCTGGAGCCTCCGGAGTGCTCTGGACCAGGGGACCTTGCTCTAGTTGCCTGTCCGATTTTCGTGATGTCCTTGGGCTCAGACAGCTGCACGAGAGACATCGGGTCTGCGTCAAGCTCCGTTTTAGGTGTTGGTTGATCGACATTTGTCTCGGAAGTCGGAGGAACGGAACGGGACTCTTTCGTTACTTGCATTGCGCATTGAACGTTAACGGGTTTGTTCCACCACAGCACATAAACAAAGACACTTAATGCTGCATACGCGAGCGTCAGTTGAAGGAATGTCCTTGTTGTTATGATGAGCCTGATTCGGATATAGCGCCCAGCAGTTACGCTTGAGTGGCGTTAGCACAGCACTATGACTTGAGTCCTGCTAGTGACACTAGTGCTGCGAACACGTTGTTGCTATTCGACTGATAATTGATGTCTGGAACCTCTGCCACAATGCGACATGTGCAGGAAGGACCCAGGCGTTGAGAGCTCGGCAGATCTGACAGATCTCAGTTGCCAATGCTTTCGGCACGCACAAGATACGGGAGGGACCTTCCGATCTATATAACAGAAACTCACCAAGGAGTTATCGCACCAGCCTCTATGCGAGGCGATGGTATTCCTGGATCTCCTTCGAACAGCCCACGCTACTGTCATGCAGCAATCTGGCCCCCCGTCACTTTCTCGAGAAGCAGCGCGGCCCATAATGACACCGACATAAGGCCTTCCACAAACGATAGCTCCACGAACCGGGTCCTTCCGCCCGTCAAATTCGTTGATATCGAAAGAGTTCCAGCACACACTCCCCCATTCGTGTACGGGTGCAAAGCATGAAACATAATCGAAGAAAGTTCACGTTCGAGTAACAGGCTCCGAAGCGGAGGTCTGGTCCCAATTTCAGCGGACATTGCCAGAATTGGATCAACGGTGAACGAGTTGTTTCCAGTTTTGGTATACGTGCCCAAAGGGATGGGGATATTTTGCATGCGTCTGACTGGGGCAGCTCCCTGCTCCAGCCTGCTGGCCATGTCTATGCACTTCGCAAGCAAGAGCGGACGGTACGGCTGGAGGAGTAGCTTCAGGTAGCCGTATCAATAGGGCTAAGTGACCTTGGAACCTTTTCACAGGCTTTTTTGCCAAAGGGGGGCAAGACGAAGTGATGGCTCAGTACGAGTCAGGCCTCTTCACAAATCCCCCGTGTGCGTCGCCTGCGGGACGCGGGAAGCAAACCCTCAAGCAGTCGCCCCCTGTCATCACGGACCTGTTTCTGAAAGATAATACGAAGAGAACATCGGGGGTTACAGTGTTCAATTTTCCAGGCGCCGCCCCCTTGTACTCTTTGCATTCTGTCAGAAGAGGCTCGGAAGTATCACACGCTGAGGCAGGGAGGATGAAGGGATGTGCAGGTTGCAGACTACAACGGCGGCAAGTTGAGCACTGAGGAACCCCGTCTTAGTCTTCAAGTATCCTTACGGCGACGTTCTGACGTGGTGGTGGAAACCCTTGGTTATCGGACTGGTACCGCTTGTACGGGCGGTATATTATGGAATGTTTCTTTTGTGTAGTTGAAGCTCTTGCGGCCCGGGCCACGCGTGTCTCGCCTCTAGCATGGGTTCTGGTTCAAGAGAGGACCGTAGGACAGCACAATATAACGATATCTGCTGGTTTCATGGCCATGCCTTGAAATGGCTCGGCTTGGCGTATGTCATTTCGGAAGCACTTGTGCTTTTGTTGAGTCGCACTCTTGGGATCCTGCAAAGCTAAGGAAAGCCAGTGCATGTAACACGTTCCAGAATACTTAAGAGATACCTGCTGATTTTTGCACATTGATCTGGTGTGGGGAAAAACTTTGACGAATCACATTTGACAAAGTTAGTTCCACCCGACTCACACTGGCAGTTCGCAGATACTGGTCATTGCAATCGCGGCCCAGCCTGCAAGTAAAAGTCTCCTCTGCCACATCCGGCCAGCAAAGACTCTAGCATTAGGACTGAAGCGTATAAGAAGGGGAATCATAAGCAAGCAATTAGATTGTTTACACGTGCACCGGTTGGAACGGGTGTCGAGCGCATCTCCCTGCATAGCAATCGGGCACATGCTTATCGCAAAGTATGCTGTCAATTTTTGTCTGGTAGAACGTCATTCAATCTTCGACCCCCACGTAGCTTTATGAAACGGAACGCAACAAGAAATACCTCGGCATCATCCAGCGGGATTGCGTTAAAGGCAATCGAACTTTCGGGGATGACAGGACATTTCAAATGGTGGGCTCGAATGCGTACCTTTGCTTACAGGGACTCGTCGACCGCAATAACACGCAGTCTGACTCTTATCGTCATACCCGCCGACACTGATCAGTAATTGAGAGCGTAGTAGAGGAGTCCGCACAAGAGTCAAACAAGTTGTAAGTAGAAGAAATGTCAATCCCCTTGTTCATTCCACCACCCGAGCCCTTGCTTGGGACCTACACTGAATGTGCCCCGACAGTCTGCCGTAACCATCAAAGACCGCACCATGGGAGCAGAAATTTCGCCCTTTGATCCACTGCTGGTCAATGTTACTCGTAAGATGCTACATCCGTACTCCGATACTCTTGCAGAAGCCCGTCTACGTCTCCTTGGCCGAAAGTTTTCAGATCCAAGGACGCACTGTAGTGCTCGTTCGGTCTCCCGCGTTTCGTGATCCAGGCGCCAAGTTGCTGGACAATGATAACAACGATAAACCCTCTGCCACGGAGCCTCGCACGACCCACTCGGCTGTTGCGCACGGGGCATTGCTCCTAGTGCTTCATCATGTTTAGGTGGGGGAGTTTGTTCGGGCCGGTCCGGTGAAATATGATCAGTCACCCGCAAAGAACCGCCCCAGCGAAGGGCTCAAGAAGTTCATTCAATCACCGGATGCCTGTGAGAACCTGAGGGATCAGCCGCGGATGGCGCATCTTTCGAGCGGGCGAGGGCGAAGCTTTGGGGTGCCAGGCACGAAAGTTCGTGTCCTACTATGCTACCCTTCTGATGAACCCTTAGGAGTTGTTCTGTTCCATTTCAAGTCCCCACCCCTACGGCCGGCATGACCCTATGTTCAGCGCTTTATGAGCCGCGCAGGTCCTTGTTCTTGGAAATTAAAGAACGTGCGTATCTTCATTCACTTGAAACAAATTTGACTTTACGTAGACTCGGTTTGGTCCAATTTGCAGTCCTGGCACATTCTTCATATCATCTTTTATCCACTGACGTACAGAACGCCGGCCACTCTAGGCTGTACTGGGAGTCTCGCACCGCGCCAACGATCATCTTCTAGTTGTTCTAAATAGCTTCGTATACTATTGGCACTTTGGCCGTGCTTCTATATATCTTTACATCGGCAACACTATCGACAACCTTCCTTCGACACTGGCCATCTGTCGCTCCTTCAATCCTCGCCGTCTACTTCTGCCACCACAATGATTACCGGGTCGAGCTCGCGGACTGTCGTGTCCGGGACGCACAGTTCCCTCTCACTCATCTCAACTAGGACGGTGACAGAATACGTTCCCGGGCTCGTACTAGCTTCGGTTCACGACTGGCACCAGATGCTAAAGATATTTGACCATAATTCCATCTGTCCCAAGTTGCATTAATTGACCACTCTTGTGTCTGGAACACCCCTCTCTATCTCTCCGACAGAGGTTTCAAGAATGACGCGGCCTTTTCATCGGTGATGGAACTAATTGGCCAGTACCAGGGCGTCGAAGTAGTCGAAGCAGACGAACTTGCTCCCGTAAAGACCTCGAAAACGAAAGGGCGGAAAGGCGGACAGCGAGTCCAAATCCGTTTAAGATCCGGGTACTCTGACCAGCTGGGGCATCCAAAAATGCTCCCGACAACTAGCGCAAGCGCAACACCCAGTTTGATAACGATGTGACATAATCTTCCAGGAGGTCCTAGCCCGAGTTCCTAGTTCACATGCAGTACGAGGAGGCAAAGAATATGGGGTGAGGTGGGGAAAGGAATGATGTATTCAGAGATGTAAAGAGCAGACGGAATGCAAGAGGCGTTTGTTCACGCATAACTTGTGCTGTCTCCTGGATCATGTAAAACACGATTTTAACCGGGAGCGCGGCTGGTACATACACAGCTATCCAAGATGCGGGAGAAAAGACGACCAAGACGGGGTCTGGTACAGATCAGGTGGAGGCGAACGCAAAGAACTGAAGGTGAGAACAAAGAGGATGACCCGTGCACAGGCGTAAACAACTGAAATAGGTACCAATATCACACCTGCACCGATTGCCTCACCGACTTGATCGGCGACCCATCCGACAAACATCCCAACGACAGGAGCCACTGTAATATATATCGCTGAAACCCGCCATAGAATCATCTCTGTGTGTGTCGGAAAGGGAAACGACCATGCAAAGCAATGGATCCCCCCAAAGATCATCCCAGTGACTGCAAATATGAATAGGACTTCCGTCTCCTGGGGCCCAGACAGCTGCACGAGATCTGCGTCAACTTGAAGCTCCGTTTTAGGTGTTGGTTGATCGAGATTCGTGTCGGACGTCTCTTTTGTTACATGGATTGCGCATTGAATGTTAACGGGTTTATTCCACCACAGCACATAAACAAAGACACTCAATGCTGCATACGCGAGCGTCATCGTCTCGAGTTGCGATCTGTTCAAGTGGGTTCCCCATCGTCCGACGTATTGAACGATAAACCATAGTAATTGGAGGACGACGAGACATTTGGAAATCGCATCGCCTTTGCTTCTGTCGAGAATTTCCTTCCTTGTGATTGCGGCCTTTCTAGTATTCCCCGTCTTCTCAATTATGCCAGGATATTTCTGCAACTTCTCCGGGACCACCACCTTTCCTTTTGATGGGTCGAAGAAACCATCCATGACGACAAAGTATGAATGGGTCAAGGTCCATCCTTGTGACAATTGCGAGTCAGTGCCTCGCCCCTTACTGTTACAAATTCAGGACACACCTTCAACCATCTTGTATTTTTTTGACACTCTGCGAGACAACATGAATTGGCGCCATGCAGTCCCCAGAATCCACTCCGGCGAAACCAGTGAAGCCATCATCAAACCAACATGCGATGAAAACGACCAGATATCACCGTCGTGCTGTGGTACGTTTGGGTGTACCGCCGTCCAAACGCAAGCAAAGACGGTAAGGAGACAGCCATAGACGAGGCCCCACATCGTTCGGCAATTCCGGAGATCGTTGCAACCATCAGATACATTTTGCGGGATGGGCGCTGAGTAAACACTGTAGGCAAGAAGAAAAAAGGTGAAAAGAGCCAGAGCGGTTGCCATTGGGTTGATAGAGTGCGAGTGCAGACACACAGAGCATAAACGAGCATGGGCCTTATAGGCCCATGGACAGGGGTATGCATCTTTACATACAACGCTGCATGCGGAATTTCACTTTGTCGAATTTGCAGCGGCGCGGAGCACGAAGACCGGTTCTATTTATATATAGAGTCACGAGAAGTGTAGGTGAGCTTAGTCATCGCCAAGAAAGCAACGGAGTTGAGGTACCTATGACGAAATGTCATCGATCACGTGTTGTGGTGACATATACTTCTCCCCACAATCTTCTTCCCCTTTCGTGCCTGAAACTCGCCGCGGTCGGTGCAACTGGCAGGGTGGGGACTTGAATGACATCGAGATTGAACGGAACAACTCCTATTCGGTTCCGGGTGTCAAGTCAGTCGTGGGAACAATCTGATTCTGAATCTACTGCCTCCCCATGCCTCAAATGATAACTTTCGCCTTGCAGCCTCCTCCTGCTCCTTTTGCGCCTCTCTGGCTAGGTGATGCGCTCGCTTCTTCGCTGCCGTTACAATATTATCGAATGGATTATCAACAATCCGAATAAATTTTATCTTGGCTGGATACCCGCTTGCCCAAACGCCGGCTTAGAAAGTATCGTTGGATGGATTGTGAGTTTGAACACCCACCGTACTCCCAATTTTGAGAGAGCGTCTTGATGAGATAAATTTTCAATCGGCAGTGCTGCTTCGAAGGAAACACCTTCCACCTACTGAAGACTGTGTTTCTGACAACTCTTCCGAATAATGTGTGTTGCTCCTGGAGTTCATCCACACGATCATAACCAAAGCCAGGGTGTTAGCACGGTCTTCTTTGTCTTTCGGCATCATCCTCACCCACGGTGGGCATAGCGCAGTCTAGGGTGTATTTCGTCCTCGAACCAATGGCCATAGAATGATTCTCCCTCGCCTATCTCCAGTCTGGACAAGGAATCTAGGGACTACTCTGTGGAAGATAACGCCATTGTAGTAACCTTGAAGATGTAGCGGGAGACATCATGCAGCAAATCGTCATCCACGCCTTCCATAGCTATTCTTGCACGCCTTGGGAGTCTCCTAGTACATTGCCCAAGGTTTCAGTCCGGGCGCCTGCCAAAACGTGATGGAAAACCTCTGACCATAATTCGATCTGTCCCATAGAAAAGCTGCATCAACTGACCGCCTCTGTATCTCTGTATCTCTCCGACAGAGGTCTTGAGAATAACGCGGCCTTTGGTAGGAAGAGCCATCGGTGATAGAACTAGTTGGCTAGTACTCAAGGTGTAGAAGTGGTCGAAGTAAGTAGACGAACATTGCTCCCGAAAAGACCCCAAAAACGAAAGGGCGGAAAGGTGGACAGTAATTATATGATGCTCATCCGAATCCGTTTGAGAACAAGTTAAGATCCTGGTACCCCGACTAAATGGGGCATCCAAAAGTGCTCCCGACAACTAGCGCTAGCACAACACCCGATTTGATAACGAGGTGACACAATCTTCCGAGGAGGTCCTAGCCCGAGTTTCTAGTTCACATGCAGTACGGGGAGGCAAAGAATATAGGGTGAGGTGGGGAAAGGAACGATTGGGAGATGTAAAGAGCAGACGGAATGCTAGAGGCGTTTGTTCATGCGTAACTTGTGCTGTCTCCTGTATCATGTAAAACAAAATTTTAGCCGGAAGCGCGGTACATGCACAGCTATCCAAAATGCGGGAGAAACGACAACCAAGACGGGATCTGGAATAGATCAGGCGGAGGTGAACGCAAAGAACTGAAAGTGAGAACAAGCAAGATAACCCGCGCAGCGCAATAAACAAGTAATGTGCGTAATATGATTAGTGACCCAAAGCTACCAAGATTCCTCGGAGCCCATACAGACAACATAATTGGAAAGACAGGAGCCACTGTAATATATATTGCTGAAACCAGCCATAAAATCATCTCTGTGTGGGTCGGAAAGGGAAATGAACATCCAAGGCAATGAATTCCACCAAAGATCATCCCAGTGGCTATAAATATGATGGTGAGTTCCATATCCTTGGGCCGCACCTGCACGAGGGGCATCGGATCTGCATCAGTCTCTGTTTTAGGTGTCGGTTGATCGACATTTGTTACGTGGATTGGGAATTGAATGTTAACGGGTTTATGCCACCAAAACACGTAAACAAAGAGACTTAATGCCGCATACGCGAGCGTCATTGTCTCGAGTTGCGATCTGTGCAAATGGCTTGCCCATCGTCCGACGTATTGAGTGATAAACCACAGTAGTTGAAGGGCAATCATAAATTTCGAAAACGAATTGCCTTTGCTGCTATTAAGAATTTCCTTCTTTGTTATTGCGACCTTTCTAGTATTCCCGGTCTTCTTGATTATCCCGGGGTATCGCTGCAAGTCGTCTGGGTCCACCGCTTTTCCTTGTCCTCCTTTCGATGGGTCGAAGAAACCATCCATGGCGACAAAGTATGAATGCGTCAAGGTCCACCCTGGTGACAACTACAAGTCAGTGCCTCGTCCCTTTACTGTAAAAATTCAGGGCACACCTTCGACCATCTTATATTTTTTTGATATTCTCCAAGACAACAAGAATTGGTAACATGCAGTTGCCAGAATGGCCTCCGGTGAAACCAGTGAAATCCCCATCAAGCCAATGCGTGATTTGCGCGGCGGCCAGATACTATTAGAGGGCTCTGGTATATCTGGATGCGCCGCCGTCCAAACGCAAGCAAAGACGGTAAGGAGACAGCCATAGACAATGCTCCACATCGTTCGGCAATTCTGGAGATCGTTACAACCATCGGGCGCTGAATAACCATTGGCAAGAAGGACGTTGAGAACTAGAGCGGTTGCCATCGGATCCGGTCGAGCGCAGGCAAACAAAGGTCGAGTATAAGCTTTATACTCTCAGCTGGATTGCGGCACAGCCCTATGTTCAGCGCTTCCACTACACGCAGCCGCACAGGTTCTTGGAAATTAAGGAACTTCATTCACTTGAATCACTTTAGATTCAGTTTGGTCCGATTTGCAGCGGCGTGCGAAAAATGGCGTTGATCTGAATGTACATATCGGAAGCGCAGATTGTTCACATCCTTCATGTCATCTTTTTGTCCACTAACTTGCAGAGCGCCCGCCACTCTAGGCTGTACTGGGAGTTCCACACCTCGCTAATGATCATCTCCTAGATGTCCTAAATAGCTTCGTATACTATCACCTTGGCCGTGTTTCTATATAGTATCTTTACATCGGCAATGCCATCGACAACCTTTCCTTCGACACTGACCATCTATTGCATGCTCCTTCATACATCATGGCTCAACTTCAATTCTCGCCGTCTACCTCTGCCACCACTCAACGACTACCGGGTCGAGCTCGCGGACTGCCAGGCACAGTTCCCTCTCACTCATCTCAACTAGGACAGTCGTGCTCGTACTAGTTTCGATTCACGACAATTGTTCTGGCACCGGATGATATAGATTGACTATTTCATGGTTGACTATTGTCGTAAGCGCGGCTTCGGAGATTCTGTGCAAGCGCTTGTACAACGAAATGGGAATCCTTCCCGAAGAGGCCACTCCCTATTAATGCACCTCAGGGATCATTCTCTGAGGTGTGCGAATTCACCTAATCCCAGCTGATATGTGCTTTTTTCAGACGGTGGACAGTGTTCTGGGACAACATGCTCCATGACATTCTACTTATCACAAACACCCGGCGTTGAGACAACTCGTTGATGAGTACGGGTCAAAGCCAAATTCTCCTCGACGAATCCTGCAGGAACAATTTCGTCTGCTTCGACTCTAGGAGTGAGCGCCAACGTATCCCCTCAGCACACCCACAAAAGTCAACCTCCAAACCTCCAAACCAGCAAAACCCCTCCCAGTCCCAACAATGCTATCCACAGGCACTTCCCCGACCTCCCCAGCAGCAACAATCGGGACCCAATGCTAGCGAATGACCCAAATCGTTAAGCACCTCAAGGGCTTGACACTGATCCCCCTACGCTAGCTGCAATGCTGGGAAGCCCATTGACCGGGGAGCTGAGGGTTGGCAAGCCGGTTGGCAGTGGTGGGTTCCGTCCGTCAACTCCTGCTATAGAAGATAATGACGCTGCCTCCTCACATACAAGGGACTCCGGAGGCTCCATCGGGCGTGTCGAAGGACAAAAGGAAGGGAGAAGACGGGCTAATGGTGCTTCATCGTCGCTTTCATTGAGCCGACCATTCTTACTCACCCTGGGTGATTTTTTAAGCCTTCCATCCCTCTAGAAGCACCGAGCACAGCCATTGCACCTTCACCCACGATCAAAGAATCTGGACGGACAAAAGCCTTCAACGCCACCCCCATTGACCACTTTATCTTTATCGCATACTTCCATCCCTCCCCGTGGCGATAGGCATGTCAAATGCACCCGCTCCGACAGTTAACACGACCATCGACACAGCAGGCCCGAGTGCTTCGCGCGGCCACAGAGTAATCACTTTACTCGAACCCGATTTCCCAACCATATGCTTATTGTTTACGGATGACCTCTCGATCTCGCTTCGCTGATTACACATACCGATATTGAGCGATCTATCTAATATAGAGGCTGAATTGGGTGAAAATTTCGGTGTGGGGTTCTAGGATTATCTGCACGAGGTGACATGGACGATTTAATATTTAATCTGGACACTGGTACCCTCTGCCATGTCTCCGTACTATCCCAATGCCAGGGCCACCCTGCCCCCCCCTTGGGGAAAGAGGTTTAAAAAGGGGTAAGCATGTCAATGAGAATTAAAAACGACGCATCACCTTTCGGACGTTGTTCTGTGACGCGCTTCTCATATCTTGATCGGTCTTCTTTGGCTCCTTTGAGCTTGTTAGATGACTTTTCATGAGATGACGACGCTTCGATGTCCTGAGGGCCTGGACCTTGAGTGGGAACGCGTGCAGATCCGAGAGACTAATTATAATGACGCATGATCGGGGCGGCTGATATACTTGTTCTGGATTCTTCCTCTGCAGCTGCATCTCCGACCGAAAGTAGCTTTACTACAAGACACAATTGCAAGAACGATGATCAAATGAGCTCATTCGGAGTACAGCAGAATAGATCAACTTGCCTTTTTGCGCTCTTTCCACCTCGCAGCCTCCTCCCGCTCTTTTTGTGCATCCTCTCTAGCCAGCCGCTAGCTGCGTTCACTTCTCCACTGCCGCTATGCAGGGTACAATGTCACCAAATCCATATCTTGGGTGGACATATTGATCACTTGTTCTTGTCAAGCTCTTCGCTTGCCCAAATGCCGGGTTAGAAGGTCGTTGGATCCATTGTGAATGTGAACACTCACCACGCTCCCCAATTTTGATAACGTCCTGATGAGATAGATTTCAATCAGCAGTGGAAACGCTTTCCACATACTGAAGATCGCATTTCCGACAACTCAATTCAAAATAAATCGCAACCAGAATCAAAATGGTCTTCTTTGTCTGTCGACATCTTCACCTAGGGTAATGAAGAACTGGCTATATTTGAATTCTTCTGGCCGTTGTTGTTGGCCATACCAAGAAGTCCATGGTGGGCAAAACGCAATCTAGGATATACTTCGTCCTCGAACCAATGGCCATAGAATGATTCTCCTCCGCCTCCCATCCCTGTTCTGTCTCCAGTCTGGACAAGAAACCCAGGGAACAAGTAATCTCAAATGTAACTGCACTCGTGGGTCATGTTCAATTGTAAATATGTAGCAATCATCAGGCTGTCGGATCCTGTAATAAAACGCAATTTTAACCAGAAGCGGGGTACATACACAGCTATCCAAAACGCGGGAGAAATGACAACCAGGACGGGGTCTGGTATAGATCAGGTGGAGGTGAACACAAAGAACTGAAGGTGAGAACAAGGAGGATGACCCGCACAGCGGAATAAACAAGAAATATGAGAAATATGAGTATTGACCCAATACTACCGAGGTCCCTGATCTTACCCACGACCAACATTACAAAGACAGGAACCACGGTACAGCCATTTGCAGAAAAATCTGCCGTTTTGAATTTATCGGGTATGTGATCCTGGTCATTCGCCTTCCTAAAAAAGTTGGAAGGATCAGGTTCAACGAAATAGGATTTCCTTATGCGGATAGTCGGCTTAGCGCCGGGGTCCAACCTCAGTTTGGGCACCACAATATATACAAAATCACGTGGCCATCACGCAATGACTTGCGAAGTGAGGCTTGCTGTCAAAACCAATGTACTTACTCCATACTCTGCTGAGTGGCACTATTGCTCCTCCACTGCTCACGGCCTATCCTTGGAACATACTGTACTAACACAACCAACAACCGGTCACGCGTCACATGAAGGTCTTGGATTGAATTAAAAATCAACACAACTGAATTGATTGGGTGCCTCCGGCAATTCCCGGAGGCCGTGGGAACCGGTTGTTGGTCGTGTGAGTACAGTACACCTGCCAGCATAGCATAGTCAAAGTCTGCGGATCTATTGTACCCACTCACCGGATGCACAGAACATGCTGCTGACGCAATTCTGACCCAACTGTAACCAAATCGTGACTCAACAAGCCATCTGACAGGTCATGGGCAAGGTACGCCAACTTCAGGGATGGCATTCTTGTTGGGTCAAGTGCTCATTGTTTGTTTGTTGGCATACCAAATGAGCGCCTGTGATTTGGCTGCATGGTACAGCGATGACAGCAGCAGGGGTTGCCTGTTGATTGGTCATTCTTTATATTGGGCACCTAGCGCCATATATAGGACACCTGGAACAGGGGGAAGGACTGAAACGTTGCGCACTTTACTCAAACTATCTGGCTTGATATGTCGTTCAACCCCGGTGAGAATTTATATGTCAACAATGATGATAAGCATGATGGGCAACCTCCCTATTCCTCTCAACCCCAACCCACTCTGAACCCATTGCCTCTGCCTCTGCCTGTGCAAATGCTGTCGACCCAAAGTGATCTTCCTGTCTATCCTGGTCAATTGGGCCCTATCGCGGTGTTCAACCCTGTGCCACCATATAGGAACCATATCCCCATGTCGGCCCCCCAGCAGTGTCATCCCAGGTGCCACGAGTTGCCACTGAGCATAGCAAGCTAAATGGGAAGGAGAAGGAAAAGCCAAATGAGAAGGGAACAAAAGGTATGTTTCAGCATCTTACTATGTCTTTCTTAATCTTACTTTGGGCAACTTTATACTGCATAGATTTTGAGTACCAGTTCACTCTGAACACAATGGATCCCAAGAAGGAGGATGAGACTGTATTCTTTGTTGATTCAAAATCTTGACCACCCGAAGAAGTTCTTCACCAGATTTTAAGTAGGATGGAGGTGGACCTTGCTGCCCATTGCATTGGTTATTGTCTCTCTGATGAAAAGGAACTGATCTGGACATGTATTAACAATATAGAGGATTTTACCTGCGCGATTGAGGCTCAATGTGAAATTCAGTCCCAAGCATACAAGACCAAAAAATTACGCATTATCAATAAGGTTTGTGTTTCATTGCACTATGATAACAATAACAACAACTTTGTGAATCCAGGATGCAGTCAGGAAGGAAGTTCGAGTTGTTGCAATCAAAAAACGGAGCACAGCCACAGCTGCCACAACTGCTTCTGCACGTCATGTAATATATGAGGAACTTTGCAAGAAGCTCTGGTGCAATGGATGCTTTAAACATTGCTATTGCCACCCTGATGTGGAATTCTGTCATTTGCATTTGGACAAGGAGGCAATTGCTGTCTGGGCAAAGGTGATGGTATGCTTGTTTAGTTCTTCACTCACGCTTCCTCTCACTTGGCCTGAATGGTGTCATAGACTGATGGTGTCAAGGGAGTCTCATTCACCCAACCACCCAATAGTCATTTGTTTAGTGCCTTGCTTCTCAAACGCCAAAAAAATGACCATCACACCCAGAAGTGCTTGCACTCAGCCAACACTCCCCCTCTGTCCCCAATCCCAGCTAAGTGCTGGAAGCCTCTTGTCCCATGCACTCTGGAGAAGACACAACCATTTATTTTGGACCTTTCTCCGACTCCTGTCAAGCAAGTCTCAACCTCAAAAGTACCTGTAGTTCTTGTCCTGCGCACTCCAGAGAAGATACAACCTTTGTTTTTGGACTGTTCTCTGACTCCAATCAAGCATGCTTCAACCTTGGCTGCCTTGACCTCGCAGTTTAGAAGTCCTCAAACACCAAAAAACTTGTGGATCCAAAAGTGGTGACTTGCCACCTGTGTAAACTTGCCGACCTCTATTTCAGTCATCGAAATATCCTCAGATTCTGGCTCTTTGGATGTACAGGTTGATTCTGAATCTAGATTGGGATTTGATGACATACATAGTGAAGAGTGAAGTTTGAAACAGCAGTCTCTTTTTTTTGAACCCAATCACTCCGTACCATTTAAGTTTCTACTCAGACTATAGTGCTGTATATACAAAGTCCCCCTTCGTGGCAAACTTCCCTGTACATATTGATTCAACAGAAAACAAAACAAGGTTGCCCCAACACTAGAGGTAGCCAGCATGCCTGAACCATCCGTGTGCTTGGTGACTTGTTACAGAGAACACTGCTCTCAAGAGCAGGTCTGTTGCTCGGTAATGTTCACTGGAAGAAAATTCATTATCAACATATTCTTGATTCCTCTGGAGCCATTGCTTAATGGATGAAAATCCTAATTCTATTGGGTTGAAGTCAGGGGAGTATGGGGGAGAAACTCGAGTCTAATGCCTCTGCAATACCATTAGTATCAAACCTATCCAGACTGAATGGACACACCGCTCATGGCACATTTCCACTAGGACTTTGGATTTATGAATGGAGGCATTGTCCATGACAAGAACAGATAGGGGCTGGGGGTATGGGTTCATGTGAATGAGGACTGAGGCAATGAAGTTATTGAATGATTCTGCAGTATATGCATCTTTCTGAATATCTGTCAAAAACCCCGGATCGTGGGGGGAAAATGCATGAGTCTGAATGCAGGCAGGGGCTCAACTAGATGGGATCCGGGAGCTCTGGTAGTGGACTGAAGCTTCCCCAGGAAGCCCGGTTCTGCTGGATGGTACAAGAGGCTCTAAGGAGGACGCAGCCTCAGCGACTCGGAGGGAGCGCTGTGCCTCCGTTACGTCTCAGTTAGTCCTTGTATTTATGTCTGAGGTATCTTGTAGGAAGGGGTCGGGATTCACTCAGAGGGACTTGGGGTAGCATTTTAGTCAAGATTAGAACTGAGGAAAACTACAGGTTCTAATCTACAGGTATTTATAAGGGGGAATGGGAAAGGACTTAGTCAAAGTCCGAATGACAATAAAGAACACCGAAAGGTGCCGAATGATACCGAGAGGTACTGAAAGGTCCCAAACGATATTGTTACAGGAATGGGTTCTGGGGAACCCAACCTGAGCCGTTCGGCTCACTAATGGAGGTGGCTGCATAGCCATCGGAGGGAGAGCGGAATGGGATGAGTGTCTGGCAGTGTAACCTGTGGGTTGGCCAACGGTAACTTGGCGCTCCTGGGAGCGTACCAGTAGCGAGTATGACATGGGCTCCTTGAGGGAGCCACCTGGCTGTCTGCTAACGGGGACTTGGCACTCCTGGGAGCGTGCCGGTAGCGGGTGTGCTGGGAGCAGTTGGCTAGTGGTGACTTGGCACTCAATGGAGCGTACCGGTAGCGTGGGATACTGGGACTCCCAAAGGGAGTCACCCAGTTGGTGGCTATCGGTGACTTGGCGCTCATGGGAGCGTACCAGTAGCGGGAGTTGTTGGGGAAAGTGGGCTGGTGGACCAGTGCACGGTAGTGAGTGACTGTGGGAAGTGGGACCCGCGGGTGCATGGCCAGACATTCTGGAGCTGCCTGGACTATATCCCTCTCCTAAGGAGGTGGGATAGGCTACAGTTCCTGATAGGGAACTTCTGGTTGGATGGGAGTGACCGGTGGACTGGTGGGAGCAGGCAGCAGGAGGTTGGGCGTGGGAATGCCCTCCTCGCTGCGGTTTTGTCATGGAGAGGATGAATAGGGAGGTGGACATGGTTCCAAGGTTACAGGTTGAGTTTACAGTGGTGGCACAATGGTGAGGATGTTACAATTGCAGTACAAGGTTTGTGGGTTATGTATTCGATAATGAGAAAACATCTCGGCATTTGCCATACATGTCATATGACTTGTATCTATCTAATACAAAGGTTGTAATGGCCAAGGGAAGTCCCTTGGAAATCAACAAATCCCCCAGCCAGCACCAAAACCCAGTGGGAAAGCTTGGCATGGGGTTTGACAATGAAATAAAGGTGAAAGGTTTGAATGTTCAGTCATGGACCATAAGATTCTAGGTCCATTCCTATAACAGATATCTTTAATGGGAAACCAGGGTGTTGGGTCGAGGAGGGCGGAGTAAGAGACCGGAGAATGAATGGGAACAAGAAATGGGTAAGAGGGGGTTAGCTGACTGAATGGTAAGAAGAAGATAGTCGTGCTAAGAATGGAAGGTGACTAATAAGAGATGATGAGAGGGGGGTCACCGAAGGATGTGGGTAGCTCCAAAAGCGGAGTTGCATATCTGAAGGATGTTGGGTGACTCCAATAAATGAAATGGGTGGAGGAATGGTTTAGGGGTATGTCACAGGATGTCGGAGGTCTGTCGGGATATCGGAGCAATCCGGAGTCTCTGAATGTTCCGACTTGGGGCCAAGCTTCCGGGATGGGAGTAGCCAAGGTTTGGTGTGCCGCAACCAGGCCGGAGCTGAGACAGTCAGGAAGGAAGGTGACTTAGGGAGTGGGGAGGCATGGTGTAGGGGATGGTGAAGTTGTTAGGAAGGTGTGGTGTGGTGGGAGTGCGTGGGGTCAGGATTCCGGGATATGACAATATCAACGTGAACAATTCCATCCATTGACATCGCAGGAAGAACAGAATATATAAGGAATAGAAGTTTAGTACCAAAGTTGCTGAATAGATTCTGGTACAAACTTGGTGCCACGGACAAAGAAGTTGCATCACCAAGCCCTCTCTCCAGATGGTGCCCAGCCATATGCATGTGAGGATGTTTTGCAGTTAACCCCTGTCTCATCCACAAAGATCAGTTGGTTTGCATGGTAAGTTGTCTCCATATGTCTCCTGAAATCAGCTTGCAGTTGTTCGTTGCACTCAGCTGCTGGTTTCTGAAGCTGGTGAACAAGTCAGTGCCATGACTGCAAAAGATAGCAAGGAAACCCAACCTTCTTCCTAGTGAGACTGTGCCTGCATAGCTCTCTACGAATTGTATGGATACTTGTTTCAATCTCAAGTTCATTTTTGAGTGCAGCTTGTAGTTCATCCAAGTATAAGTCGGGCTTCTGCTCAACAAGGCTGTCTAGAAACTTTGGAACTATGAGTTAAAATATCCTGCACAGTGCTGGCCTTCAGATTATGTACATTTACCATGTGGACACTGAGCATCCGATGCTGCCCTCAGGTTTCTTCTCAGTGTTGGTGGTGCTGGTGTGGAGTGGCAAGTATCTGCCGAACAGTACATTTAGACACTCCTGAGAAGTAAGCAATCTTGCTTGAATTCATTTTTGAGGACATAAAGATGATGATATCCTTTGCACCAGGCTCAAGGTGTTTCCCCATAATGACTGGATGGACAATTGTTGTGAATGCACTCAGGTGCTTCTAATTCTACATACATTTAGGGGGTATCATTGGGGTTTCCCTCAAATAAGGAAATTCTATTTCGTTGAACCTGATCCTTCCAACTTTTTTAGGAAGGTGAATGACCAGGATCACATACCCAATAAATTCAAAACAGCAGATTTTTCTGCAAACAGCTGTAAATATTGTTGGAGAATGGATATCTGTTCCCATCGGTATAGAGTTTAACAGCCTATACCGGCATGGTCAAATGGGCAAGTTGTGTAATGGTAGCACACTGAGAGGTCCTGGTTTCGATGCCAGGCTTGTCCATGATTTTATGTCCTTGTCTTGTGACCTTAACTGTATCATTCAGTTGGATCTCACAGAGTAAGTCCTGCAGGGCAACGTGAAATTTCTTCAAATATGAAGCCAATTTCCATATCCTCAGGCACGAGGGATATCGGATCTGCATCAGTCTCCATTTCAGATGTGGGTTGATCGACATAAGTCAGAGGAACGGAAGGGGACTCTTTTGTCACATGGATTGGGAATTGAATGTTAACGGGTTTATGCCACCACAACACGTAAACAAAAAGACTTACAGCCAATTCTGTTAGAAAGGGGCGGATTTGGACGACTCCGGAGTGGAATCGGAGACTTAGTGTGGAAGGACCTCGGCCTCAGCGACTCAGGCGGAGCGCTGTGCCATTGCTGGTTGTCCTAGGGGTCCCTAATTTCGGATCTAGCAGAGGGAAAGTCTCTTGGGGGGAATTCATGTCGATTTCGGACTGAGGTTACAAGTTACTAGGTACATTGTATATAAGGAGGGGTCCGGAATCAAAAGGAACAAGGGTAGGACAAAAGGAGACAAAGGGAGATGGAAAGAGGAACAACACCGAGGGTCAAGTGTTTGACTCAATGGTGTTTCCCAAAGGAGGAATGAAGGGCCAAGGCCCAAGGAGGAAGGAAGGAGGTTGGGAGTCGGGAATGGCTAGCTGACTGAATAGAAAGGAAGCAGCAGCCCAAATAGGAATGAGGGAGAATAGCGGAATTGAAATGGACAATGCAATAGTTGCAAGGTCTGGAGTAAGTCCGGAAAGTCCGAACTCGGAGGTTAAACTCCGGAATATTGGCAAACGTAATTAAATGGAATGAGCTAACCAATACAATGGGTATAAGCGGAGGTGGGGTCAAAGTCCGAGGTTGGAGCTAAGACCGGAGGTTCCGGAGACGAGACGTGAACGGGATACCGGAGCGGAGGTCCGGAGTCGGGAGCATAGGTTTTGCGTACTCGTCTGGAAGGTGTCGAGGTTGGGGTCGGACCCGGAATGTTCCGGAGTCGGACCGAAGGTGGTGTCCGAGCCGGAGGTGGGATAACCTCTTGGGAGTCGGCAAGGAGAAGGTGACGGAAGGGAAGTAGGGCTCCAGAAGTCGGAGTTCGGAGTTCCAGGAGCCCGGAGCGGAGGTCGGGATTGTATGGATATGACAAATTCCAAAAAAATTGGCCATTTTGATTTCATCGAAAGAGATCTAGGGGCACTCATTCTCTGCCAGAAATGGTAACTTTTGAGTGCAAGGCGGCAAACCCAATGGTACCATGGAACTCCCTCTAAAAAACATTGTGTTTGCGTACACTTGCATCCATTTCTCCCCCTCTAATCAGTGTGGGGAAACATCTTGAGTGCACTAGACATTCTAGTCTTCATGCCCTCAAAAACAAGTCCGAATTTTGTGTATCAACGTCACCAGACTTTTTGTTCATCACACATGAGGGCTAAGCTATGCTCAGAGCATGGAAGGACTTGTATATATGTGAGAAGTCCTCAAAACAAGTCCCAATCAAGCTCATCATCAGGCTTTTCTTCCTGACTAACTTTGCGCAATCCTTCATCAAACCCTTCATCTGAGTCTGAATTGATATGCATCACTGGAAGATGCGGCATGCACATGTGTGTGGAGGGCTTGAATTGTAACTGAATGTGGGCGAGTCCGGAAACCCGAGCTTGCCATAGTGTCGCGCATGAGAGTGGGGATGCAGTGAGACCAAAGACCCCAGTGCTAAGCGGATCCATCCAAGTAAGGAAACCCCTTTCATGGGGCGTGATCCAGCCAACTTTTTTAGGAAGGAAGAACCCTCCCAGATCTCTTTCGATGAAGTCAAAATGGCCGATTTTTTTGGAATCGGCTGTAATGCCGCATACGCCAACGACATTGTCTCGAGTTGCGAGCTGTACAAATGGCTTGCCCATCGTCCGACATATTGAGTGATAAACCATAGTAGTGGAAGGACAATGATAAATTTCGAAAATGCATTGCCTTTGCTTCTATCAAGAATTTCCTTCTTTGTTATTGCGGCCTCTCTAGTATTCCCGGTCTTCCTAATTAAGAAACCACGCATGACGACAAAGTATGAATGCGTCAAGGTCCACCCTTTGTGACAAGTACAAGTCAATGCCTCATCCCTTCCTAACTTGTGCATTTCCTCTCAAATTCAGGACACACCTTTGATCATCTCATATTTTTTGAAAATTCTCCAAGACACCAAGAATTGGTACCATGCAGTCGCCAGAATGGCCTCCGGTAAAACCAGTGAAAGCATCATCAAGCCAATGCGCGATTTCGGCGGCCAGATATCATGAGAGAGCCCCCTCATATCTGGATGCACCGCCGTCCAAACGCAAGCAAAGGCGGTAAGGAGACAGCCACAGACGATGCTCCACATCGTTCGGCAATTCCGGAAATTGTTACAACCATCGGGCGCTGAATAAACATTGAGGATGTTGAGGACTAGAGCAGTTGCCATTGGATCTGGTCGAGCGCAGGCACAAGCACACCAAACACAGGTCGAGTATAAACTTTATACTCTCAGCTGGACTGCGGCACAGCCCTATATTCAGTGCTTCCACCACACGCAGCCGCACAGGTTCTTGTTCTTGGAAATTAAGGAACTTCATTCACTTGAAACAAATTTCACAGTTTGGTCCAATTTGCAATGGCGTGCAAAAACAAAGGGCACGTCTTGCTTTGATCGATTTATTGGAAGCGCAGATTGTGGTGCTTTGGTCGGCGCTAACACAGACAATACAAATTGTGAGAAACCGGAATCAGTTACATACAGAAAATAAACAATTTCTTCTCCAAACAAAAAGAAGCACGTGGTCATTCACGTGCTCTTTGTGGAACGCGCTGGGTGGGGCATTTAGGTTCAGTGTTGTACAGACCTGGTCACAAACAGTCACAAAGACCGAAGTCCATGAGTCTGACTAGATGGTCACAAGTCTCTCCCACGGTCAGTGTAAGTTGGACTTTTCATTGGGGGATCCCGATATTCAGACCCATCCGCAACCTTTCTTCATAGGATATGTTTTGTTTGTTATGGATTAGATGCTGTAATGACTATTTGCTAGCACACAAGAGATACTGAGCATGATTCTACTACAGCTTGAGTTACACAACTGTGACTTTGCCGCCTGATTTGCCATGTTTCATGTTAGGATTTTCGAAAACTTCACACAATCCCACACAATCCCACCCCCCATCCTCCTCTAGTTCACCATGGGCATTTCTAGTCCTATGTGGGAATACTTCCACCAACTTGAAAGGTTTTATGGAAATAATAAAAGTCACCGCATTGCCAAGTGCAAGGGATGCGTGGCTTGGCATACAAGGACACTGGAGGCAAAGGATTCCAAGGGCATCTCAACTGGAAGCATTACACAACAATGCTCAGCGGATGAACTACATGAAGCTGGTATGCATATATCTCATTAATTTGGTTTGAGAAATATTCATCAAATGGCAAACATAAGCTCTTGCACTTGCATCTGATATTCAAGGAACAGTAGAAAAGCTGGCTCGTCATCTTGTGAAATGCACACACACTTCCGTAGAGGGGTGTGCTGAAGGACAAGCATGGTTAGACCAGCGTTCAACAAGTCCAATGCCTCATGTCCATATAACACCTGTCAACAACCCATCATCAACTCATAGCCAAGCATCTTCCTCTGCAATGCTGCTTGTCCCTCCAGCTCATATTCCCTGCCGTCGAAGCACCTCACCCACAACTCCCACACTGTTAAATGAAGAACAAGTAGCACTTGAAGAACAATTACTTCATGCTATTGTGTCTGCAGGATGGTCCTTCCTTTGTGTTGAGGATCTGGAGGTTGTCAAATTATTTTCAATGTTGAACTCAGCCTTCAGAATTCCAAATCGGAACAAACTTTCGGGACGGATTCTAACCACAGAATTTGATCGATGACAAGAGGAGTTGACTCGGTTGATGAAGGGTGCATATGCTACTGGGCAATGTGATGGGTGGAAGGATACTTCACGGAACCACCTAGTTGCATTTATGATCTCATCAAGAGGGATGGTAGGTTACTAGCGGAACTAGACTTCGCTGTCATATTCATCAATCAATCATTCAAAGGTGCGGGTGACAAATGTGTATGATAACACAGGGGAACGCAAGACAGCTGAGAACCTACTTACACGCATCAAGAAAGAAAAGGATTATATCGAAGACACTTTAGGTCTGAGGCTCATTGGATGGGTATCAGATGCATCGGGAGAATCCAGGGCCACACGTCTCAGATTATTGGATCTTTTTCCACAGCTCATAGTAACAGATTGCTATGCCCATCAGGTATGTTCCTCTGATTGAAATCGCTCCCCACAGTAATCCATTTCTCATAGATGCAGCTAATTCTGGGTGATTATATTAAGCATAACGGTGAAATGTCATTGCGATTGGCACAGGCTAATGAGATAATCAATTGGTTCAATAACCATTGTCTGGTGCTTCATTTGCTATATAGAGAGCAGCGCACTATCCGTGATACTGCACATCAAGCAAAAGCCCTCATTCGGCCTGTAATCACGCGATGGACATCACATGCATCAGGAAACTCGGTTTGACTCCGGAGACTCCAAGAATTCGCTTGCGCTCTTGGTGCTCCCTGCACTCTCATGAGCTGCTCCAGCGTCTCCCGGTGCTCTCCATCATTACCATTGTATATAGCTATTGCATATGGAATCAAGAAGTTACGCATACAGTTCATAATCAATGTGACTCGCAAAAGGATTAATATAGAACTCCAACTCTGTCTCCATGCAGGTCGCGGAGCGTATGCTACCTTTCTGGAGACGCCCAGGAAGAACTGGCGCTAAAGGGCATGGTACCACAATGTTGGAGAGGGGAACAATCCCACCATCTGGTATGTCACGATATACCTCCTTTTTTACCGTGCGGAAGCGGCTACTTACACTGGGTTTAGAGATCGGACTGAACCAGTGGACGTAAGCGAACAAAGGGCCTAAATTGAAACGCTCACAGCCATTGCAGTCTTGAGACTCAAAGAGGGCGAACACAAATCGGATTTCCCCAACTCGGTAACCTAGTATGGAGCCGGGGTCAGTGGAAAATGAGCTCTAAATTAACCCGTTGGCATTGTACTTACGTCGTATATCTGAGACCAGCAATTCTTGATCCATGTCGATGAGGACGGTTGAATAGATACCACCTTGCTGTGCTGTTGGGGGGGTGCATTGGATCCGAGTTTGTGCAGGAGGATAGAAAGCATTGGGCTGGGGGAGTTGTATCTTGAATGCGTGCCAAATATCGATGCTTTGGAGATGGCGTGGTAAAGCAGCTGAGGAGTAATAATCTCGATTTGGGTGATTTCGAAGGCCCAAGTTCCCATTATAAACAAAGTACCGTATCATCGCTGATATAAGATCCGGTGAGGAGAATTTTATAGCAGCAGAGGAGACCAGCAACCTGATGGACTGAGGCCGCTTAGAGACAGTAGGCATGTGACCAGCAAGTGACCTCGGGGTCATGCTGCCGGTTGAAGGGACATCTCTGCCACTGGATGTCGCCACTTGGCCATCGCAACAATCTTCTGTGCTGTCGAAGTCATCTTGCTCAGGAGCACTGCATCCCATTGCTTCAAGAATGGAAGAAGCTTGGATAAAGAGTGAATCCACGTGTTGAAGCTGATCGAGAATTTGTATCGTGTGAGCCTTCTTATTTGTTGATCGATAGGTCACTTTGCATGTTGGGATATGCAACGATTCTGTGATTTCTGACGATCCATTATCCATAGTGCCATGATCACGAATATCTTGAGCGAAATGGCGAAGATTATGGTGTTTTGGTATGCGGAAGTGAGGAATTAGTACACCCTTTATATTGCAACGAGCGCCGTTGTCCAGGAAAACCTTCGAAGCGGAATAGTATGTTTTCAGATCTTGAATCATTGACCCCAAAAGTAACATCGGAATGTGCAGGGAATTGGGCTTTGTAAGAGAAATCAAGCAGCGCGCGCATCGCTTTCACAATTCTTGGATTTACACTTTCCTTCCCCTTCTCATATGCTCCTGCGATGATGACGCCTAGATGGCGCTGAAGATCCTGATTTTCACGGCCTGACCACTGGGATATCTTTGATATCCCCTGGTGAAATGTACGTTGTCCCTTCCGGTACGGTTGTGCAATGAATCGAGCATCAAGTGAGTCTTTTCCAATCGAATTTTCGATCCATGTCTTTGGATGGTCACTTATGTATTTGTGAAGGCCATGCAGCAGGTCAAGGCAGACAACGCGGCAAATATCCACTGGAAGACCCTCCCAGCAAAGGTTTTCGACACCTATCAGTCCCATGTCTCGTGCCTTGTTCGCAAATTGCCACGTTGTCGCTTCAGGGAACCTTTTTCGCAGCTCTTGGAGGGCACATATGATTGAATCCCCAGTTCGACATTCGCATGTCCAGTTTCCACCAAGGTCTTTGTACTGAGCAGTGCACTTTGGACAGCTGTTTCGACAAAGACCAAGGAGATCAAGGACTTCTTCAAGATCCGCAATCCAAGCCATTAGAATTAGGATGCAAGTGCGGGTCATTCCATGCGCATCAAGCAGGGGCACTGGTCTGATTATGCAGCCTGTCCGATAATGCTCATGAAGTGGCTTCAGGACAATGCGAAGACATTCATGATACAATATCTTCTGAAGGAGACCAGGCATTCCCTTCATCTTGTCAGCTAAGTGGCTATCGTCGAAATGTGTTGCCGCAAATTTGCTAATTGGGAGATTGGCCAAGAGAATCCATGCACGCTTGTTAGGTTTGTTCCGGACCGATTTCTGAATATTTCCCAGAGAAAGGTACACAGGATGCATCTTCTTGTCGCCAGAGAAGTTGGTTAGGTGAGTCTTGTCAGAGCCAAGCATTATCGCAAGGATTGTGGAATCGCTGAGCCCCTGCTCAGAGAGTTTGAACTGTTACGAAATGAGGAATCTTTTCCAGACTATACTTGATCTTCCTACTAACCTGCTCCTCATTCCAGATCCTACCGGAGCTTAGCTCAGCATAGACTCGATTTCTTGTGGGTGTCCCATTTCTGTCAGTCACAAAAATCTCCTCCAGCTCATAATCAATAACCTCCTTATAGTCAGGATTACTGAACAGAAATGCTGAGCATGCAATGATGTCGCGGAAATAGAGCTCATGCTGCTCATCTGGGGCATCCTTTAGCACAACCGTTGCATGCTGGAAAGGTGGCCCCTGAGGTAGCGACACTCGGATTATCGTGTACATCTCCCTTGCTGAGGAGAAGGACAGATCAAGGTGGTGAATCTGGGATTTCAATGTTAGTTTCTCAATTACCTTCCTCGATAATTGGTGAACTCACAAATTCCAACCGGAGAAATTTGTTTATTTCAGCTTGAGACAGCTCGCACTTGCAGAGCCATTGAACTAAGTCCCATTCTGCTTTTGATTTCCATGGGCTGTATGGTTTTTCGGTGTCCCCTGTCTGCTCCCAAATAGACCATACTGACGTTGCTCTCTGCTCTGCTCTCACTGGCACTGCCCTTGGCCCTTCACATCTCCGGAACACACTGAACGACAATGCTGTGCCTTGCCATGCACTAAGCCCATGGAATTGCAGCTGGTGTTCCAGCTCAGTGTCTGAACTCATGTCTAGGTTGGATGAGTCTGACATCTCACTGTGAGTATTGTGGGAATCATCACTGGCATGGGAGTCTTGCCCGTCATCTTGTCTTTCATCAACATCGTTTAGGAAATTGTCATCGGTGCGATTGTCAAGATTGCTAGCAAGGTATACAGTGGGGCCGACCTCATTCTGTTTGTGAGAGTCAAATGATGGTCGGAAGCTGGATGAGGGTGTTTGTGAAGTGGCCAGTGGGGTATCTCGGGAGGAAGGAGTAGGGGCTATGTGATTGTAAGTCAATCTATTCAGTCTTTGTTTTAGGCACTCCGGAGAGGCTGAAATGTGAGCTTGAAGTGCTTTATGTGACCGGAAAGCTCGACTGTTACCACAAAATTCACACACCCACTCCGATTTTGATTGGGTGGCGTCGGAGCTGGAGCATGGCATCACTTGCCCCTTGTGGGACCTGTGGAACCGAGACTAAGGTATGGAGCAGTCTGGAAGGTGTGGCAGTTGGCTCAGACGTCAGGCCTGGGAGGCAAAGGCCAGATGAGCACTTTTTTTTTTCGGGGATAAGCGGATACTAATTTCAGTGGTGAGGCAGATTCAGTAACGCCCCCGTTTTTTTTTTCACTTCGCCACACCCCATTTTTTCCCTTCCACCATCTTCTACTCTTCCACTACTAGTTCAACACCCCTCCTGCTTGACAATGCTCTCACGACACCGCAATCCCAATTGTAACACACCTACTCACACATCCTCGGCAGAGTTGGTTCCTCCTGTTCTTGGAAAGCATGCTCGTCGCCCAACAGTGGCTATTGCCACCCATCTGGCTGAAGTTGAACTCTCCAAAAAGCGACGCCTTTCTCAAGGCAGCCGGAAAAGCAAGAAAGGTGGGCCTTGTTCGTTGCCACTCACCATGAAAAATTTTTAACACATGAAATCTTGCCAGTTCCGGCATCAGTTACAAACCCAATGAGGGACAAGATGAAGTCTGTCAACATGACCTACACCACAGCTGACCGACCTGAATACGAGAATGACAGCAGTGACAACGGCAGTGACAGTAACGACAATGCTGGTAGGAGGAATGTTGAGAAGGGCTCTCACTCCTCAGTCTTGCATTTCTCCGATGGCAGTGAGTTGAATGATAGTGGAGAAATGACTGAACCAAATGATGATGGTAAGTGTTGCTGGTTACTTTCCTACTTAGTTTGGTTGCACTCAAGCGGCTTTAGAAGCAAACAAGTTGCAGGCTGAAATTACAGCCTTAGCCGAACAGATGGAGGTGAAACGTAAGGCACTCAAGCTCAACAAAACCCGGATCTCCAGTGGACGGACCAGCCACCACACCAGTCGGGTCTGTCATCTCCCCACTTCTTGGGATGAAGCTAGTCTTAGCAGAGGGCCCTCCTTGGGTCTTGTTCCGCTGAAGGGAACACGTTCCTCTCAGCCCTTATCCTCTCCCCATCCAATATCGCGACAGTCACCTGGCTTAGATGATGACGCTTCAAAACAGGCTAGCCACTCTTGCGGGTTCACTTGCTTCTTGATACTTATTATCGTCTCACTAATAGTACGATTTTTCATCAAGCCCCATGCCTCCCCAAACTCAAACACCAAATCCGTCATCAAGGACGCGTAGCTCATCTCCTGTGGCCTCCAGCACAGCATCTGTCACGCTTCATGGTGCTGTTAATCTTGCACCCAAGGCAAGCTCCAAGAAGGCAAAGCAGAAGGCCAATGGTGAGCCAAGTGCAAGAGATGCCACACTTGAATTCTGGTGCCAGCATGATAACCCTCAAGTTTTTTCCGTCCTCAATTATTCACGCCCAGTTTTCCTTCAGCTTGTTGCGTCAAATCCCTGGTCTCTTGGGGAGAATAGCCTGAATGGAGCACGTAGTGAAGATGCATCAATTCACCAACGCTTTGCACAAGAAGCTCTTGCAAGATCTGCCCAAAATCTGAACCTGCGAAGTGACCAGTTCATGGTTGAGCCCCTGATGATTACTACGGTATGTTGAATTAGTTGTATATAAAGTCGTAAATATCCTCTGTCTCAACCCCTCATACAGCTTATGAAAATTGTGTCCAACTTCCGAAATAGATTCCGGAATGCTGCTGTTCAAGCTGTTAATGAATACTATAACTTTTCAGCGATGGATGACTCAGAGCGCATCGAAAGTGTCACAGACCTAATGGAGAAGTCCAGGTACATCTGGCGAAATCACCGCTTAGTATGATTTTGCACCAATGTCAATATGGCTAACTGACATTTTACATACAGAAAGATGGTCCATTCGAAAACCCGATCATTTTGACTGTGCTGAAGGTGTTCTTCACCTTCAAACAGCAGTTTATTTCTCGTCGGTTGGGGGAGACTTGTCTTGATGATTTCAAGAACCTCGATGAACATCACGAGCTTATTGCCCTTGCCCTATCAGCGGTACTTCATCCATTTACTCATAACACCAGTTTGCTAATATGCACTTTGTTTAGATTCACTGTGCGCTTGAGAGTGTTATTAATCCCAAGGTTGAATTTTCTGCCGAACGCTTTGCAGAAATACATGAACATCATCTATTCGACATTGCCGAGTTTTCATCAAAAAAGACAAGACGATGGAAGCGTATTTGCTGTGCCATGTTTTGGTCTGTAGCGTACGTTGCCAACACTCACTAACCTAACTACCGACTCATATTCCATCAACCTCTATAGGCAAGAACTCAAAAGGGATCATATGTATGAGGAGAGGGATGGATCTATTATAGACATGGAAGAACAACCACGCGGCAACACTAGTCCATGGAGCGAGTCTGAGTAGCTGCCAGTTATATACATAAAAATCGATTTTTCTTCCTTTAATTACATGAGTTCGCGAGAGTCAAGAACACTGAGAATCCTGGAGTCTGAGAGCCAGTGCTGCACCGTTAGAAGGAGAGGAGCCGCAGAGCTCAAGAGGCCCAAGAGAGCATGCCTCCTGGTTCTTTGAGAGGGGGTAAGGACCTTTTGGGCTCCCCAAGCTCCGTGGGATATCTCGGCTCCAGGAGGTCCCTCTGAGTTTCCTGATGTGTATTGGCCATACAACGTCTTCTTCATCAGCAAAAAATTGTTATGCTCCTGAGTGCTCCGGAGTATCGAGAGCACTGGGAGAATCAGGAGGAGATTGGCCGGTCCAGGAACAGCCCATTTCCTCTGGAGTTGGCTAGGTACTCCAGGGCACTCCCAGGAGGGCCTGGAGCATTGCTTTGTGCACAAACATATTCAGTAAATACAATTTAAATGCTTCAAAGTGTATAGGGGTGAGAAGCTTCTGGGAGCTCCTGGAGCATTTGAAAATGAAAAGGAAAAAAAGAGGGAAGATCCCCCATGAATACCTCCTACCACAAGACTAACACAACAAGGCACTGCTTAACATTTAGATCAAACACTATACTATATATCAAGGACACTGAGACTCACCAATACACAATCAAAATTTATGGCCTGATATATGATTAATCTGGCAACTTAATCACTTTTGGGCTGGCAGAATATGAGGGAGGGGGAAATGGGGGAGAATGAGGGGGAGAATGAGGGGGGGGAATGAGGGGGGGAATGAGGGGGGGATATAGAGGGAAATGAGGAAAATTTGAAAAATAGGGACTTCTAAAAAGTTGAAAAAAATAATTAGGGAAAAAAATCAAAAAAATTCAGGAACTGTAGTGCCTTTGAAGTGCTTTCAGGATATATAATTATTTGCAAAATCGAGGAAGAAATGATGGAGAAAAATGGAAAATACTTTCGGAGACCCGAGAAATAATGAGAACTGAATTGATGGGAAAGTCTGAAAATTGAATAGGGAAGTGAGGGGAAGCCTTGTAGCATTGTTATTTTCTGCTGTTCTAATTTTTCCTGATTGTTCTTGGTCTCACTCCCAGCTGCTACTGGATACTCCTGGATACTCCTGGAAGCTCCTGGGAGGGTCCAGGAGTAGCTAATGGAAAATACTTTTGGAGACCCAAGAACTGAATTGATGGGAAAGTCTGAAAATTGAATAGGAAAGTGAGGGGAAGTCTTGTAGCATTGTTATTTTCTGCTGTTCTGATTTTTCCCGATTCTTCTTGGTCTCATTCCCAGCTGCTCCTCAATACTCCTGGAAGCTCCTGAAAGCTCCTGGGAGGGTCCAGGAGCAGCTGGGAGTGAGACCAAGAACAATCAGGAAAAATCAGAACAGCAGAAAATAACAATGCTTACAAGGCTTCCCCTCACTTTCCTATTCAATTTTCAGACTTTCCCATCAATTCAGTTCTCATTATTTCTCGGGTCTCCGAAAGTATTTTCCATTTTTCTCCATCATTTCTTCCTCAATTTTGCAAATAATTATATGTCCTGAAAGCACTTTAAAGACACTATAGTTCCTGAATTTTTTTTGATTTTTCCCTAAATTTTTTTTTTCAACTTTTTAGAGACCAAAATTTTCCTCCCACTGCTCCTGGCACATTACATACTCCTCACCACTCCCAGCTGCTCCTGAACCCCCTCCCAGGAGAACACTATTGGCTCCAGGAGTGCCCAATCTGCTGTTTTGTCTCCCACATGCTCCAGCCACTCTTGATGCTCCGGAGCATAACGGACTTTTGCTGATGTTCTCCTAGAGGCTTCCTTTCGAACTATAGTGTTGAAAAGCCGGAGTGAACTTGAGTCTTCTGCTGGTACTAGGCGTGATGCAGTGAATAAAGCCTGCCAAATCATCTCCATTATTGAAGATAATTGTTTTTGGAATGACTTAAAACAGTGAGCGCGCTAATACAATATTGCCAGCAATAATTCCACTTAGAATCTTAATTTCTAGGATAAAGAGCCATTTAGAGCCCCTTGCCGTTGCCGTGAATGTTTGCCAAGGTTCCAATACTAGGGCAGACCAAGTTGCACTCATCTTTGGTCAACTCTACAAGCACTACACCGATATGTCCTTTGCCGACATATTATCTCTTAATGGACACTCTCCTGTTGACGCTATTCTCTCCAGCCTTGAGGCCCGCTGGAGTAAAGTGGATCATGATTTTTTTATAGTTGCAGTCACCCTTAACCCGTTCATCAAAACTTCCCTCTTCACCCCGCTAGTTTCTACAGGGATCCTGGTGACAATGATTGAGCGTCTATATTGTCGTGTGTTTGAAACCACCACTCCTCCAAATACATTGGGTCAGCGCGCTATTGCCTACCTGACAGATAGCTATGACGCATTTGGGTACCAGGGTGGGGATTGGAGTCTGACTAATCTTCGCGTCCGCATACCGGTATGTCAAATCCTCTTTCACATCCTACCCAAGCTGATCAATGTTATTGTTCTGCATGTGTTTGCTAGGATTCCAATCCAATCATGGCATGGAAATGTGCCTACAATGACGACCCACTGGCACGACTCGCTATTCTCATCTTCTCATTTGTTTGTAATTCAGCTGATTCGGAGCGCTTCTTCTCTATCACTGGGGACACAAAGAACCCCGCACGCAATCGACTATCTGTTGAGAAGATGGTGAAAATCTCATCTATCAAACTAGACCTCAACCGCCAACATGCAGTCGATGGTTCACATAGGAAGAGAATCCGTCGTTCATTCGGACTTGCTCCTTCCGCTAGCGACCGTGACCCCTCTGGGGGCCGTTTGGAGCCCGAGCATGGACATCCCTCCTGCATTCCTGATGACATAAACCATGGCTACCATCCTTTCCGTGCCAATCTTCTTCAAGACCTCACCAGTGACTACAATGCAGAACAATCTGAAATGGATTTTGCGCGGAGTCTACCATCAAGATCCCCCCAAGTAAGTTATATTTTCCATTCCTCCCAAAGTATCTATTTACAGCCTGCCGTTAGGGTGTAAGTTTGCAGGGGAAAAGGGTACGAGATATTTTCAACTTGACGCGAGATTCAATGTGGGACCTTTACTGGATCCAGGGTGAGCGGAACTTAGTGCTAGAAACAGAGATGGAAGACCTCTTAACACGAGAGAGGAACTTAGACCTAGATGGGAGCTTAGAGACGGTGGCAGGGTGGAATGTTTGCGGTGACACGTTAAGCGCTTGTAGCTAAATCCGTTAGTCCGTTATAAGTCCGTTAGTTCAGACCTGACGGACCGAGACACCCAGTCCGGACTCAATCTGACTCAGAGTCCCCGTGACCACGAGTCTGACTTGGTCTTGTGCAACACTTAGCTCATCTTTTTGTCCAGAACGCCGGCCACTCTATGGGAGTTCCACACTGCGCTAATGATCATCCCCTGGTTGTCCTAAATAGCTCCGTATACTATTACCTTGGCCGTACTTCTATATAGTATCTTTACATCGGCAACGCCATCGACAACCTTTCCTTCGACTATTGCTTCTTCATACAACATGGCTCAGCTTCAATTCTCGCCGTCTACTTCTGCCACCATAACGACTACCGGGTCGAGCTCATGGACATGCCGGGTCCGGGACGCACAGTTCCCTCTCACTCATCTCAACTAGAACAGTGACAGAGAGTACGTCCCCGTACTCGTACTAGTTTCGGTTCACGACAATTACTCTGGCACCGGATGCTATAGATTACATATTTACATGATTGGACGAACAAAAGCCTTCAAAGCCTGCACCCCCCATCGACCACTCTTTCTCGCATCCTTCCATCTCCCCCGTGGCGACAGGCACGTCAAATGCACCCGCTCCAACAATCAACACGACCTTCGACACCAGCAGACCCGAGTGGTTCGGCCACAGAGTAATCACTTTACTCGAACCCGATTTCCCAACCATTTGGACCGGCACCTTGTCGTTTACGGATGACCTCTCGATCTCGATCATACGGACCTTACCGGCATTGGGTGAATATTTCGGTGTGTGTCATGAGATGACGACGCTTCGATGTGTTGAAGGCCTGGACCTTGATCCTTCTTTCGGTGTGGAACCTCAGGTATTGTTAGTTGAGCAGTTGCTGCTCTAAGCTCTGGGCCAACGATTACTGTACGGTAAACAAAAATATAAGAGCGGTAGATCCGAGAGACTAATAACGCACGGAATTTTTCTTTATTGGCGTGGATTCTTCCTCTTCAACTGCGTCTCCGAATGAAAGCAGCTTTGCGCCTCTATATTGCAAGACATAGTTGCAAGAATGATGATCAAATGAGCTCATTCGGAGTACAGAATAGATCGACTTTTTGCGCTCTTCCGCCTTGCAGCCTCCTCCCGCTCCTTTTGCGCCTCCTCTCTGGCTAGCTGCTGCGCTCGCTTCTCCGCTGCCTCTATGCGGGGCACAATGTCATCAAATGGATTATCAACAATCCGAATGGATTTTATCTTGGGTGGATATATTATTACTGGTCGCTCGGTCTTGTCAAGCTCTTCGCTTGCCCAAACACCAGGTTAGAAGGTCGTTGGATCATTCACCTTTGCGCCCTTTCATTTTTGAGGTCTTTTCGGGTACAAGTAAAAGCACTTCGACTACTTCGACACCCTTGGTACTAGCCAAGTTCTATCACCGATGACCAAAGGTCGCGTCATTCTTGAGACCTCTGTCGGAGAGATAGAGGTAGAGACGGGAAGTGGTCAGTTGATCCAACTTTTCTTTGGATAGATCGAATTATATTATGGTCAAAGGTTTGCCCATCACGTTCTGGTGCACACCCCCACTGAAACTTTGGGCAATGTATTAGGAGACTCCTAAGGCGTGCGGGGGCTTTTATTACATTAGCCATGGAAGGCACGAATGATGATTCGCTGCATGATGTTTATTCATGTCTCATGTCGCCTCCCGCTACATCTTCAAGGTTACAACGATGGCGTTAACTTCCACAGAGTAGTCCCTGGATTTCTTGTCCAGACTGGAGACAGAATAAACGGAGGCGGAGGAGAATCATTTTATGGTGATGGGTTCGAGGACGAAATACATCCCAGATTGCACTTTGCCCACCGTGGACCACTTGGTATGGCCAATAACGGCCAGAAGAAAGCCAGTTTTTCATTACCTTAGGTGAGGATGTCGGAAGACAAAACACATCATTCGGAGGAGTTGTCGGAAACATGGTCTTCAGTAGGTGGAAGGCGTTTCCTTCGAAGTATTATCTCGTCAGGGCATTCTCAAAATTGGGGAGTGCGATGAGTGTTCACATTTACGGTGGATGTTCAATGCACCTTCCGAATCCGTCGAGAACAAGGCGGTTGCATACCCGGTTTGATAATGTGACACAAAATTCAGAGGACCTCCTACTACTCGCCGAGTTTCTAGTGCGGTGAGGCAAAGAATGGTGTTTGTTTGTGCGTAACTTGTGATAATGGAACTGCGTCATGTTCAATTGTAGATCTTCGTCAACATCAGACTGTCCTGTAACTTTAAAACACAAATTTTAAACCTGAAGCACAGTACATACACGGCTGGCTATCCAAAATGCGGGAGGAATGACGACCAAGATGGGGTCTGGTATAGATCAGGCGGAGGTGAACGCAAAGAACTGAAGGTGAGAACAAGGAGGATGACCCGCGCAGTGGAATAAACAAGTAATATGAGTAATATGAGTAGTGACCCAACGCTAGCAAGGTCCCTCTTACTCATGACCAACATTACAGAGACAGGAGTCAGTACTGTAATATATTGCTGAAACCTGCCATAGGATCATCTCTATGCGTGTCGGAAAGGGAAATAACCATCCAAGGCAATGAATTCCCCCAAAGATCATCACAGTGGCTAGAAGTTCCCGCTACTCTGTAGGGGGTCTTGTAAATTTCTCGGTGCCAAACTGAATGCAAAATACGACGGGGTCCTCTATTATTGCCAATGGCTTCATAACTTAGGGTCCTCCCATTCTGCTTTGATTCTATTTCAATCCTCTCTGTGTATGCATGCAATCCAATGTCTGTCCATTATGGACTCCTATGCGGTCGAATGCGGTGGGTGTCCATCACCACTTTCTTTCTATTCTCTTATCACTTTATCCTCAGCTCTTTGGTCTCAAACGTTTTTAACTTCCGCCATATTGGTGTATTCTCATCCACTAATTGTGGATGCCCAAAATCATGGCTTTTCTGTGAACGGTTTGACTGAGAATTGTCTTCGTGATCGCCTACTTCGTCACCTCTTTTGGGGTGATTGTTATCAATCCAGCTTTCCAGCCTGTGTCACTCTCCATACCCAATTTCCCTCTTATGATCAGTACTATCGCACTGTATTCAATGTGGTCTTGTCTCCATCATGTCCGGTTCAACAGTGGAAATTGATTTGCCTGGCTTTATGTCTTTGCAACTCGGCTGACTCCAAACGCTTAAACAACGAGAGTGTTCTTCGCATACTCTCCTGTTTTCGACACATTGGCTCCTATTATCCTCATTGTAAGAACATCTGTGAATCATTGGAAATGTTGACTTATTCAGATCTTTGTGCTCTGTGTTTCTTTCACCACATTCCTTATCTCCAGCCCCTGCCTCTCAATCGCGAGCAAATGCATTCCAAGTTGTTTGCTCACATCGCATTGGTCACTCCCTGTGATTTTGGTCTCCCCCCCTGCTGCTTCTGAACCTAACATACACTGTCAGCCACTCATGCTCACCAATGGTAATGATCACTATCAACTCTCTCGGTTTCTGTCCGACATTTCTCAATCCGTTGTACATCTAAAATTTCTTCAGAGAGTAATGTCTCACTTCCACATCCCCTGCCCTCCACATTCCTCCATGGCATTGTTATGACATTCATTGCTCCACCTTTACTCCAACCTCCACAGCTCCTCTCGTGCCGCTTATACTCCCCCTCTTCCTGCTGCCAACCAGTTAGATGATCTTTATCACAATTGGTGCTTGCAATTGTCAGAATCGGGATTATTGTCAGAGACTGAAATATTGTCAGAGTCAGACATACTGTCCGAAGATGGATGGAAGACAGATGGGTCTCTGTCTGAGTCAGGGTCAGAGATTGTGGCGGAAGCCTGTTGGAGTGTGCATGCATGGATATGTGGGCGGAAATATGCGGCGCATCTGGAAGCGCTGTTCAAGGTTAGCAGAGTGGGATCGCAGCCTCAGCGACTCAGGTGGAGCGCTGTGCCCTGAGCTTGACGTTTGGGGGAGATCCCATATTTACAGATTGACACTTACAGCGGACTTCAAACAAGACTTGCAAGCGGAGTGGACCTATAGGAGGAGCGTGGACTCTGCAAGCACAGACTCAGAGGGGGGAAGCCCCCTTTGCAGAAGGAGGGACTCAGACCAGAACAGGGGGGGTACTCTAGTTGATTTCAGACTGAGGTCCCCGAAAGTATTTACAAGGTATAAGTAGGTAAGAGAAATCAAAAGAGGGACCGGTCAGTCCAGTGCGGAAATAAGCGGAAATGAGTGGGGACTTGTCAAACTAAACCAAGGACGAGAACCTGGGAAATGGGAGGCAAGGAATGAATAAAGTCAAAGTGGATCAATGTCAGGGCCCGGCCTTGGACTCGGAGGCTCCCTGACCTCAACCCCCCATCTAACCTGTCCTCACACTATGTGGGGCATGAGATGTATAGTAAAGGAAATAGAATATGTACACTTGCCTATGTGGGGCATGAGATGAGAAGAAGGGTAAAGGTCTCATCTCCCCGCATGGTTGCTATATAAAGGAATGGGTCACATGCCCACAACTATACAGCTCCTAGAGTTGTGTAGTGTGACCCGGAGGGAACATCCAGGTGGCAGTGCCCAGTAAGTGTGGGAACGTTGTAATGGGTCTATCAATCTAGACTCGTGGCTCAGGTCTAGGGGGGGTAGGTCCCTCTCTATCACTCAGGTAGATGTGGGTCCTGCGAGTACGGTGCTGATACTCTGTCCAACCTCTAACTAACTGTCTGTACAGTTGTCATGGAAGAGTCCGATACAAATATAAAAGGAAAGTCACATGCGTGAATGAATGAAAATAGTAAGGAAAATAAAGAAAAGGTCATATCTCCTCAACCACTCCACCAAATCCGACAATCTTGGACTCGTCAGAACCACCTCTACAGTATCTACAACTCCTACTATTACCACGACTCACCAATCCTAGTCCCTGATGCAGTAGGGGGTGAAATGCGTGATAAGGGTTGGTTTGACCTGCACGGACTTGTCCCCACAACAACGTTCTGGGTGAGTTGCTTGCCCAGAACTGTGGCTGTGACCCATGGGAACATTCTGGGCAAGCTGCTCGCTCAGAAAGTTCCCACGCTATCCCGTGCGTGCAGATACACAACACAGAAAGGCAACAACAAGGCAACAATGAAGGAATGGAAGGAAGGGATTGGTTGGGGAGTCTGGGGCACCCTAGGGCAGGGTGCTGAACCCTGACAATCAAGTACCAATATTGACAGACTAAATGAATGAATAGGAAAGTGCAATAGCACACGGATCAAGTGCCAATATTGGCAAGTTAAGCGAATGAAATGGGTGAACATAATAGGCACTCGGCAAGGAATGAATGGTACCGAGTGACAAAAATGGCCAGAGGACAAAAGTGGAGGTCAGCACACGGCGCCGATACAAGTCCACAAATAAGCGGGGTCGGTGCGGTGCCAACACAAGTCCGTGAACAGAGGTTGATCTGTCAGTACTGTCACACAAGGACAGCATGAAGGCCAACAGAGGCACAGAGGGGAGTGGGAGTGTTGACCTGACCAGAGGTGTCAAGGGCAACCAGAAGTGGGCAGAGGGCACAGAAGTGGGCAGAGGGTGCGGAATGCATGGAAGCGGTGCATGGCTGTGACCACACAGTGGGAAGCAATGAGTGTGGTTCAGATGGAGACAAGGCTGGCATAGGAACTGGAGGGACTGAATGCCGGGAGTGCCAAGGGCTCGGGAACTGCATCAGCAAACCTGGATGTGGAGGCCTGAGAGCTCATAGAGCTCATAGAGCTCTCAGAGCTCTCAGAGTTTCAGTACTTTGAAATTGCAGGTCCCCTTCTCTCAGAGCTCCCCAAAGTAGTCAAAGCTCCGAAAAGTAGTCAAAGCTCATAGAGCTATATTTGCACACAGGGGACTATTATCTATATGAGCTCCCTGAGTGTTTAATTTATCCGATATCAAAATTAAAATTTAAGAGCATTGACTCTGGCATCATGTGATGAGTCACAGCCAAGTCCCTACCATGCAGGAAACTGAACAAACTGAGCTTAACTTTCAGCCCCCAATGCGGCACTACACACCAAGGGTATATAGCCAAATTAATATATAGATCAAATTTAGGGATATACATATACAGTTAATCTGAAATTACTTAAGGAAAATGTGTGGAGAAATGGGGGGGGAAAATGAGGGGAAATTTGAGGGGGGGAATGGGGGGAAATTGAGGAGGGAATTGGGGGGGGGGGGGGGGGAATGAGGGGGGAATGAGGGGAAATTTGGAGGGGGTGTCATATCCATCCCCAGCCATCGACTTCTGGCCCCTCCGATTCCTCCAGTCTAACTCCGCTCCTTCCTCACTAACCTCGGAGCTCCTGTATTCCGCAATCCTCTCGGTACCCCTCAATGGTCACCACCCCCTCATTTCAATTTATTACCTACACCTCCCTAAGTACGGAGCCCCGAAGACTTCCGGACAGCTCCGACGTCCGCTAGCGCACTCCCGCCTCCGCTGGGCAATACACTCGCCTGCCCTGCAGAGCCCACCTTCGGGCCTATCCCTCCTTTCCGTTTCTGGGTTATCGCCTGCCTTTCCGCTAACCCTGCAACCCGACTCATCGGTAATATTCAGTCGGCTAATGTTTAACCCCATTAGCCCCGCTCCGTTCGGCTCCACCAATTGCGGACCCATCTTTGCTGTAACCATATATATATCCAACTTGTACATAGGTTACACTCCAGTAATAAAATCAACTAGAGTTACCCCCCTTCGGTTCTGATTGCCAGTCAGTAAGTTAGGGCACGGACGTGTCACTAGGCACAGCGCTCTTGGCATAAGTCGCTGAGGCCAAAGCCCTCTGCTACAGAGACTCTCCCTCGTCTCGAATCTGGTCTCTGACAGGGGGGAATGGGGGAGAAATGGGGGGGAAATTGAGGTGGGAATTGGGGGGGGGGGGGAATGAGGTGGGGAATGAGGGAAAAATTGAGGGGGGAAATGGGGGGGGAATGAGGGGAAATTTGAAGGGGGAAATTGGGAGGGGGAATTGGGGGGGAATGAGGGGAAAATCGAAGGGGGGGATGGGGGGGAAATTGAGGGGGGGGATGAAGGGGAACTGGGGGGTTTCTAAAAAGTCAGGGAAAATTAAGGAAATTTCAGAAAATGGGGGACTTTCTAAAAATGGAGAATGTCCAAAAAATCAGGGGAAATTAGGGGGAAAATCAGAAAATTTGGGATAAGTTAGGGAGAGATATTTCAGGAAATTAGGAATAATTGGAAAAGAAATTAAATCACTTTTTTGATAATTCAATGTGTATTGGAAAGTGCCAAAGTGGGGCAATGTAGCAATGTATGTTTCAGTGTTAGAAAAGTCTCCCACCATGTTTTGGTGAGCCAAATAACCATGGCTTTTTGACCATGGGAAATTTGGTGTCAAAGGCTTGGATGATATCTGAAGAATACATCAGCTTTTTGTTTGCTTTATTGGGTGGTATTTTTAATTTACTTCATTTGGAACACTTTTTTAAAACTGATTTATACCCTACATAACATGCATGGTTACATTGCCACACTTTGGTGCTTTCCAATTCACATAGAATCATCAAAATTGGTTGAGTTTTGAGCAAGAAATGAGATGAAAGATAAAGTGCAAATTTTTGAATTTCAGAGTTTTCCTCATATTTTGTAAATAGCAATAAACAAATAAGGTGCTGATTTTAGTAAACACAAAAGGTATATGAGCTTTCAGAGCCATGACAATGGCCATTTTACACACACATATATCCATATTATCTTTGCACTACTGGTGCCAAAATAACTAAGCAGATTTCATGGAGATATGAAGGCCATCCATTATTTAAAAACAAAAAGCTCTATGAGCTCATAGAGCTTTTCAAGTAATGATGCTGGCCATTTAATATGCATTTCCAAAAATGTATATACATATTATCTTTGCACTTCTGCATCCTTAGGAGAACAAAATCATTCAAACATTTAATTTTCTCCACCCAATGTGTAGAGGGTGCACAGCAAAAAGACTCAATTTGCTCACAGAGCTCACAGAGCTCCCTACCAAGTTTGCTGATGCACCATATCATCTGTCTTTTGCTGTAACCTCCAACTGCATTTCCCCTGGGTGTCTCATGATTCAGATCCCTCCAGCGACCTCACTTGGGTTCCCAGCTCTACACTCCACTGTATCATCCATCTCCCACATAAAAGTGCCCACTCCAGCCCTGGCCCAGATGATTCCGCATCCTATCCTGCCTCTCCCTCCCTTCTTTGTTTTCAATGGATCTGTCAGGGTTCAGCACCCTGCCTTAGAGTGCCCCGGACTCCCCACCTACTTTACCCCCTTTTATTCTTTGACTGTTGCCTTGTTGTTGCCTTTGTGTGTTGTGTACACGCACGCGCACGGGATAGCGTGGGAACTTTCTGAGCGAGCAGCTCGCCCAGAATGTTCCCACGGGTCACAGCCACAGTTCTGGGCGAGCAACTCGCCCAGAACGTTCCCACGCTTACTGGGCACTGCCACCTGGATGTTCCCTCCGGGTCACACTACACAACTCTAGGAGCTGTATAGTTGTGGGCATGTGACCCATTCCTTTATATAGCAACCATGCGGGGAGATGAGACCTTTACCCTTCTTCTCATCTCATGCCCCGCATAGTGTGAGGACAGGCCAGATGGGGGTTGAGGTCAGGGAGCCTCCGAGTCTGAGGCCGGGCCCTGACAGGATCCTAGTATCGAGCAACATCTTCTCGACCACTGTGATGACCCTAACTGGGTAGGTAATGTTACTCCTGACAACGTTTCTTACTGTAGCCAAGCCTCTGCCAACAGTCAATCTATTTGCGGCTCCTGGACGAGCATAAGCGATCACTCCACAGTCACCAACGTCGCTTTGTTTGGTATCATCACGAAAGCTGAGCTGTCCGAGTATGGAAACCAGTACATGGTGCCGTTCAATAGTTGGAAGGAGCAAGGCGTAAGTGCTTCTGTCATTACTCATTCCTTGCTGGCTTATGACACCCACGGTGACGTTGTAGCATATCAAAGTGAATTCGACCAAGTTTCAGATTCATCTCGGTCTTCCTCTCAGTGCTCCAGCAAGTTTGAAGAAGAGGTTTGTGGACCAACTCATTGCCCTCAACCGTCTCAAAAATGTGTCCACACTCGGCCACCTTGTCGAAGGTATGTATTCTCTCAGTCATCTGGGTTGCCAACACCACTCAGAGCCCGGTCCAGACACCACCATTGAGATTCATGACCATGGGTGTGGTTTCGTGTACTTGGACAACCGTAACTTGCCGTTTCTACACCTCACCCATGTGATGTTCAAAGAGGTTCGATCTCAGTCAGCAAAAGAGTGCCCCAAAATTAATCTGATGGATATGTTTCAAAGTACACCACCAGAGTCTCCTAAAGTGTTGTGGTCTGTAAGGCTGACTGGCACAGATCCACCTGCTATGGCTGAAGGTTCTTTGGATCAGAGTGACCCAACTCCCACTATCTTCAACCATCCTGAGTGGGACCCGGAAGGGCATTTTCATTGTGCCATCCTGTCCCTCACAAGCCAAAAAGAATTCCAACATGTGGTCAACCTCAGCGCATATGACTCTCAGGGTGTGCCGATAGAACACGAGGGTCTGCAAATGTCGTTGGTTGAGGGGATGGCAATCATGGGAAGTGCGACCTTACATTTGTAAGCTGCATTTGTTTTCTTTGCAACTCTGAGTGCCATCGTGGACTGCTCTCTGGCTTATGTGTTTAGTTCTCGTGCTTGAAATACTGGTCGTGGGGATATACATTCTTTCCAGTTACATTGGAGTGCGATTCAGATTGTAGGGCCTATGCAACTTGTACCGAAGGTTGAGTCTCTCAGGGCTAGCGTGAGTCTTAAATGCACAGCAGAGGAAGAGCTTCAGGCTCCCCATGCGAAGAGGGGACCATTCTTTGGCCCAGCAAAAGATGTGGAGAAGGAGGCATCCACACCAAAGGAAGATGTGAAAGGGAAAGGAAAAGAATGGGAGGAAGAGTCAGGGTGGTAAGTGTGTCTCCATGGTCAGGTTCGCTCAATTCTGATTCAGACTCGCTAGTACTATCCTCTAGGGTTCATCATTGAGTCTGTGCTGTTTGGATTGCCATTGGCATTTGGATTGCTTGTCCGGTGGGCACTTGGCTTGTACTGGTATTTCTTCTCTGCCCACCTGTATCTGTTTGTGTTGCACAGTTGGTTTGAATGGTCAATGTTTGTGCTCTAGGTGTGTTGCCACTTTGTCTGTTTGTGTTTTGCAGTTGGTTTGAATGGCTGTGGCATTTGATGTTTGTGCTCTAAGTCTGTTGCCACAGTTCACTTCCTTTCCTGTACTGTTATTCATGCATCAGGTTCTCTCACACACATGGCAATCAGTAAAATCATGACCATTCTCCACTGTGTCGAAAAGTCACAGTGATCAAATATACAAAGGTCTACAGCATCACAAGGTGTTTAGGTTGCTCATGAGAGTCCATGCAAGAAGTCAGTCATCTGCAGGTAATCCTAGGTTTTGAGTGGGGGGGAACAGGCTGGTGCAAAGGCACACAAAGGAGTCGTCATCCATACCATGGCTTCTATCATTGAACCCCTGATGCCCTTATGTGGCTGGCCATATGGGATTTCATCGGTGTCTCTGATATGAAGTATCCCCTTACATTGCTTGCCTAATTAAGAGGGTCTGGAGCTCCGTCATTGGAACCCAGGGAGACATGGATGGCTTATATACTTCAAGCTGTTGGAGGAACTGTGTGCTATGAGGGTACTCCAATGGAGCTAACCTTAACAGCCACATTCCTGCATTAGCGTGGGAACATTCTGGGAGAGCAACTTGCCCAGAATCCACCATGTGGCTACTTAGTCACAAGACCTCTTTTATATTATTTCGGACTAACCTGTGCCAGGCCACGGATAGATTCATTCATTTGAATTCATTTCCTTTTCCCTCAGTTCTTCATGCATATTAGCTGAGACTGAGGTTAGTTATAACATTCCTTTATTACTATTCCCTTTACTATTGTAACTTACAATATGTATATTACCTTTAGCTTCACGCTTCTAGGTAATACAATTCAGTTCTTCACGCATATTAGCTGAGACTGAGCTTCCCACTTCTAGTCCAGCTCTGAGATCATAAGTCGCTCATCAACACAAGCCAGGGGCGCGTTCCTCCATGCGTCTCCACTCTTGCGTGATGGTCAACAGTCTGATATGTTTGTTCAAATGGAGCCACAAAATCATGGTCCTTGTCATTGCCACATCGTTTTGGTGAGATTGAGTGGGTAATACATTGGTCTGACTGACTAGGGTGTCTGCATAGAATCTGTCAGAGATTGTCATCCATGGAGAAAAAGAAGGGATCACAGAGGTAGTATTGGTGTGCATTCTCTGGTGAGAATGTGTGAGGAAGGGATGGGTCTCAGGGTGGTGATGCATGCTGTGCACACTTTCTTTATTCTTTGTTTATTCCTCTTTATTCTTGTTGTATACAATGTAAAACAACTGTATTTACATATGTATGGCTCGGGCTCAGGTAAAGGGTTCTTCACTCTTTACCCTCACCCCGATGTTGAATCATAAGCTCCATACAGCCTAGATCTCGACTACTGAGGACTGAGGAGTCAACCCAGGCCAGCACCCCAACTGGCCTTACAGAATGACTCATTCCTGAGGTGTTGTACCTTAGTGATCATGCACAATAGGTAGTGCGAGAAAGTCACTCTCATTGATAAGTGAGGCTGTGCTTGGATTGTGCTGTTATTGGGTTATGTCACCTCTCTGTTGTACCCATCCAAAGACATATCTTAGTGAGTGAAAAGAGTGGCAGTGTCAGGGCACACACCCTGACTAGCCCGGACCCGGACCCGCATCCAGACCCGCTCCTGGACCCACATGCATGCTCCACCCCGCATGCTCCATGCGCCGCATGCTCCGGGCCCGGTTCCCACTTCTCATGTGACTTCCGGGTATCCCCGGAAGTTTTCGCCATATTGGGCCACTGTGGGAAAGTGAGAAGTTAACCTTCTTCTCACTTTCTTACCCACAGTAGGCAAGTGTATTCTACGCTGCTTCTTTACCTTATACACTTTCTTACTGTCATATCCATACAATCCCGACCTCCGCTCCGGGCTCCCGGAACTCCGAACTCCGACTTCTGGAGCCCTACTTCCCTTCCGTCACCTTCTCCTTGCCGACTCCCAAGAGGTTATCCCACCTCCGGCTCGGACACCACCTTCGGTCCGACTCCGGAACATTCCGGGTCCGACCCCAACCTCGACACCTTCCAGACGAGTACACAAAACCTATGCTCCCGACTCCGGACCTCCGCTCCGGTATCCCATTCACGTCTCGTCTCCGGAACCTCCGGTCTTAGCTCCGACCTCGGACTTTGACCCCACCTCTGCTTATACCCATTGTATTGGTTAGCTCATTCCATTTAATTACGTTTGCCAATATTCCGGAGTTTAACCTCCGAGTTCGGACTTTCCGGACTTACTCCGGACCTTGCAACTATTGCATTGTCCATTTCAATTCTGCTATTCTCCCTCATTCCTATTTGGGCTGCTGCTTCCTTTCTATTCAGTCAGCTAGCCATTCCCCACTCCCAACCTCCTTCCTTCCTCCTTGGGCCTTGGCCCTTCATTCCTCCTTTGGGAAACACCATTGAGTCAAACACTTGACCCTCGGTGTTGTTCCTCTTTCCATCTCCCTTTGTCTCCTTTTGTCCTACCCTTGTTCCTTTTGATTCCGGACCCCTCCTTATATACAATGTACCTAGTAACTTGTAACCTCAGTCCGAAATCGACATGAATTCCCCCCAAGAGACTTTCCCTCTGCTAGATCCGAAATTAGGGACCCCTAGGACAACCAGCAATGGCACAGCGCTCCACCTGAGTCGCTGAGGCCGAGGTCCTTCCACACTAAGTCTCCGATTCCATTCCGGAGTCGTCCGAATCCGCCCCTTTCTAACACTTACCCACAGTAGTGTTATGCCCTGAGATGGGCTGCTGTTACAGGTTAGCCTGTGGGCCATAGAGAGGGGTCATGGGGACCCGGGGTCCGTCCCCTGACAGGCAGGTTATGCCGTGTCAGGCAGCGATCACCAGTTATATGATGGTGATTTCTATATCCTTGATATCCTCAGGCTGAGACACCTGCACAAGGGACATTGGATCTGCATCAGTCTCCAGTTTAGGTGTTGGTTGATCGACATTTGTCTCGGAAGTCGGAGGAATGGAAGGGGACTCTTGTGTCACATGGATTGGGAATTGAATGATAATGGGTTTATGCCACCACTGTCATATCCATCCCCGGCCATCGACTTCCAGTCCCTCCGATCCCTCCGGTCTACCTCCACTCCTTCTTCACTAACCTCGGAGCTCCCGTATTCCGCAATCCCCTCGGTACCCCTCGATGGTCATCACCCCCTCCTTTCAATTTATTACCTACACCTCCCTAAGTACGGAGCCCCGAAGACTTCCGGACAGCTCCAACGTCCGCTAGCGCACTCCCGCCTCCGCTGGGCAATACACTCGCCTGCCCTGCAGAGCCCACCTTTGGGCCTATCCCTCCTTTCCGTTTCTGGGTTATCGCCTGCCTTTCCATTAACCCTGCGACCCGACTCGTCGGTAATATTCAGTCGGCTAATGTTTAACCCCGTTAGCTCCGCTCCATTCAGCTCCGCCATTTGTGGACCCGTCTTCGCTGTAACCATATATATATCCAACTTGTACATAGGTTACACTTCAGTAATAAAATCGACTAGAGTTAACCCCCTTCAGTTCTGGTTGCCAGTTAGTAAGTTAGGGCACGGACGTGTTACTAGGCACAGCGCTCTTGGCATAAGTCGCTGAGGCCGAAGCCCTCCACCACGGAGACTTTCCTTTGTCTCAAACCTGGTCTCTGACAGTATTTTATTACTCCCTGACTAGTACACGTCTTGTATGGCACCAAAAGTCCTTCGCACTCGTTCGCAACTACGCACATTAGTTCCCAACTCTGCCTCACCTTCCCCAGAACCCTCTCAGCCTGGTCCTAGTCGATTGGCGAGAAACCCAGTTGAGTTTCAAAGCTTTTCTAACCTTGAAACCCCTCTCCCATCGACTCCGATCATGCACCCCGTTAGGAATCAATCACCAGTTGCAGATTCCGACTTCGGAGACACCACGGAACAACCCATAGACCCCGTCCACTTCTTTGGACTTGGTTCCGAGGTCCCCGACTTCGTCGATCCTCCTCCTGCTGATCCTCCCATCCCCACTGTCCCAACCACCGACGATGCCGAACCCACCTCCAACGTGGCTATCGCACAATTAGCCCAAGCCATTGCCAGCCTGGCTCGTCACACCGGACGCCCACCACCACCACCATCCTCTGCTCTCCGGACCAAGGTCCGTGAGCCCGAACAGTTCGATGGAAAGGATCCCCGAGAACTCCGAGTATTCTTGGTCCAATGCGAGCTCAATTTCCAGGACCGTCCCCTCGCTTTTGCTAGCGACCATGCTAAGGTCATCTTTGCGCAGTCCTACCTCAAGGGAATGGCCCTCGATTGGTTTGAGCCGGATCTACTATTCAATCAAAATTCTACGCTTCGTCCGCAATGGATGAATGATTATCAAGAGTTCGTTAATGAACTTCAAACTAACTTTGGCCCTCACGATCCTGTGGGCGACGCTGAGGTTCAACTGATGACCCTGGACATGAAGGACGGGCACCACATCAATAAATACGTCGTCGAGTTCAACCGCCACGCCTCTCAACTTCATGGTTACGGAGAAGCTGCACTTCGTCGTTTTTTCTACAACAGATTGCCGGAACGTATCAAGGACGATATTGCCAGAGTAGGCAAACCCTCTACTCTCTCTGAACTTTGCACCCTGTCCCAAACTCTCGATGCGCGCTATTGGGAGCGTAAATCGGAAGTTACACATCACGCGAAACCTTCTTCCTCTAACGCTTTCGACAAGTCCACCGCTGCTTCTCATTCTGACCCCGTCCCTTCCTCCTCCTCTTTCAACTCCGCTTCCGGTAGTAGGCCTCCAAAGGACAATAAGAAGTCCGAGGCCAGCTCCGCTAAACCGGACCTCTCGTCTAAACTCGGAGACAACGGCAAGCTCACACCACAAGAGCGTAAGCGTCATCTCGACGAGAAACTTTGTATGTTCTGCAGTCAGTCTGGCCACATGGTCAAGGACTGTCCCAAGTCTTCTTCTCGCGCGTCTAAGGCCC